ACATGCCGAACATGGAAGAACAGCTCCGACCATCAGCCTACTTAATCCGCGGTAATCAACGCAAAGGTGAATTTACGGATACTGCGTGTACTGCATTCTGATAGATCAAAAAGACCTTGCTATATTCCACACTCCCAACCTATTCAGATACACGATTATTATGGCAGTTGATGCATCGTATTTTGTTATAGGAGCTGTAATGCAACAGAACAGCTTTGGAAGTTAGCTACCTCAGGAATTTTTTTCACGGCGCCTCTGGAGATGTATCGCTTATTAGGTCGAGAACTGCCAGCAGATTACTGAGCCATCGAACATTTCCGGCACGTAGTAGAAATTCGTAACTTTATATTCTTCATCGACCATAAGCCTATCCATACCAAGTCTGTTCACCCCTTTCCACGAAAGTGCAGACATATGGAATGTATCTGTCTTTTCATGACAGGCATTATTCACATTCAAGGCTAGTCGAACTACATAGTGGATGCTTTGTCACGTATGCAGGTAGTTGCATTTAAATTTCCAGTGCGTGATCCACCGGCTATGGTTGCGGTCCGAGCAACGGATTCCTCTTGTACAGAAGCGAAACATTCTACAGCCCTACCGTGCCGGGAATAAAGCTGATATACTAGTTCAGGTTACATCCTGTGTGAACATATGCTACAGTCAGTATAGCATGAAGTGCAAAATCGTTTAATGGAAATGAAACTGCAACTACAGAACCAATCGTTGTAAACTATGTTCGTTTACAAAGACACAAATGCACATATAAATATCCGAACGGATGCATCGTACGAGTCTTACAAAATGGGTAAACAGTACTTGACGGCATTCAGCGCTATTATCGAGATGGTTGTAGTAGACTGCATCGAGATATTCAATGCGAAATTGATAGCTATATGTGCTACACGATACTCTCTTCTCAAGAGTCCTGAAGGCTTGACTGGTTACTGCACTTTAACTCAGATAACTGTAACTGCTAACATCAAACTGGTTGATTAGAAATTCTGGCTGTTGAAATATGAGAGCCATCATTTCTCTACAATCGACATACACAAACGGAAGTTGCCTAGTCATACATGTGCATTAGATGGCCATAGATTTCCCCGCATCTACTAGCTAGGCTAGTTCACTCTTTTATGGACATCCCACGATCAATACATGATCAATGAGTTAGTATTTACTTACGCCTGTTCTACCCAATCGAGCATGCGCCGACCACTAGCTTTCTCCAACTAACTCTGTCCTGGGCTTCTTTTTACACTTCTTTCCTATTTTTCGTCATTCTTCAGATGCATTTCCTGATTTCTCGGCGTAATATGTTCATTGACTCTACACTTCTCCTCTCACCTTGAGGGTTCCATATGAAGGCTTGTCTTGCAACGCAGTTTGGTGATTTTCTCAGTGCGCGTCCTATCCACTTCCACCGATTCTTCCTGATTTCCTCCTCCACTGGAATCTGGCTTGTTCTATCCCCCAGTAGGTTGTTGCTGATCATGTCTGGCCAACGGATCCGAAGTATTTTGCGTAGACAACTGTTGATAAACACTTGTGTCTACTGGGTGATGGCTTTGGTATTTCTCCAAGTTTCCGCTCCATACAGTAGAACTGTCTTGACATTTGTATTGAAAATCCAGATATTGGTTTTGTTTGAAAGTTGTTTGGAATTCCAGATATTTTTCAACTGTACAAATGCAGCCCTTGCTTTTCCGATCCACGCCCTCACATTTGCATCAGATCCACTTTGATTTTCGATATGTCAAAGTGTCAACTTCTTCCAAGGCATCTCTATCAAGAGTGATTTGGTTGGTGCATGTTGTGTTGCATCGGAGGATTTTGCTTTTACCTTTATGTATACTGAGACCTGCTGATTCACAGGATGCTGCTTCACTGGTCACCTTATCTTGCATTTGTTGCTGCGTGTGCGATAGAAGAGCCAGGTCAACTGTGAATTCCAGATCGTCCAGCTGCTTCCTAGCTGTCCAGTGAATACCGTGCTTCGTTCCAGATTTTGAAGTCTTCATAATCCAGTCGACCACCAGGAGGGTGAGAGTAAGCAACCTTGCCTGACACAGATCTTCACCTTGAAAGAGTCCGTTAGCTGTCCAACGTGTACGATTTAGCAGTTGAATCCATCATAAGAGTTCCGTATGACGTTAACTAGCTAGCTAGTCTCAGTTGTCCTTGCTGTGTCCAATGCGTTTCACTGATGCCGAGCACCTTGAAGGTGTATCTTTTCATTTGTGCAGTAACTTGAATTAGTCTTCCAGTCTACCACAATGTACGAACGTTCCATATACTCCCAGGGCAGAATTAAGATGGTTTGAATTGTTTCTTCTGGATAAACTTTCTTTTTGGCAAGTTACTTTTTTGCAGAAATGGGGTCACCAAACCAATGCCCAACCATCCTTTCTTATCCGGGCTTGGGACCGGCAGTAGCTTCGAAGGGTCTACAGACGGAATAAATAAACTAGTACTTTTGTTTATTCGTAGGAAATGATATTTCGCTGGCTCTTTATACGCGAATTTCAAAACTTACTGAGCTTCAGATTATTTTATTCTGATATTTATTGTGATTCGAGTGGTTTAGAGCTTGTCAGTAAATTTGTTTGCAATAAATCTCAGTAAGCAAGTTTTTCGATTGCTTTATATGGCTAACTAAGTGAATTGTATTCGAAGGACTGTGAGACAACTTTGTTTGTGTACTTTTAACTCTTTGCTTCAGAACATTATGGATATACATAAACTGCTGAGCTGAAACAGAAATTATTAAACGATAGTACAAAGGAAATCTCTAAGATTAGATGAGAGAATTATCGTCAGAACATATGCATGAATTAGTATAATCAGAGGTCGAAAGATTTTTAATTGTCATTTGTCTGAGGTTTCTGTATGGTAATCAACAATGTTAGTTGCCGGAGAAATCCTCCTCACGTTATAGAGACCCTCGGTTTGATTGATTCGTCCAAGATAAGGCCGGTACTATAGTTGATGTCGTACATAAGCTGGTTAAATGTTTGTTGCATAAAGCTCAAGCAACAGTGACGATGACAAACACGTAGCACCGGCCATCAAACCACCATGATAACTAGCATCTCTGAAGTGCCTCATCCGTCGCACACCACAAAATTTAGTCTCAATCTCGGATATCTGTGGACGTCAGAATTTCACAAGACCTATCTGAGTCCATTCATCTTGGTACAGGATGATGAACGATCTCTCTGGTCACAATAAATGTTGCGAGAGACGACCTAAATCTGTGAAGCAACAACAAAGATGCGAAAATAAACGCACAATAACAAAAGTTGACCTCTATCAGCAACATACCTCACAAGACACGAAGATACTGGTCTCTCCCACTGGATGCACTACAGAGGTAAAAGGTTTGCAGGCGCAAGTTTGCATACTACTGGCCAACTGGGTTTGAACAACGAATATATGCTCTTAGATTGATCAAAACATAGTAATCGTAATTGATAATGGTTGCGAAGCATGACACAATGGATACGATTGTGTACACCAAACACCGATGGTGATGCAGTCATGACTAACGTGTTCATGAATGAGACACTCAGGCAGGACGACAACGAGCGCGGCCTCTGCTACGCTGAAGCAAAATACACGTGCATGAAAGAGTGTCTTCTACACGCATCATGCCCATGGGAATGGTGAAGGCGAACAAAATATGATCACTGAAAAAGTGCACAAAGGGACACAAAATAAACTTAGGTTTTTCGAGACACTGAACGCGGGCTACAGGCTAAAATTAGAGCCTGATGAAAGTCGATGGTCTCACTGAGGGAATGGAAACGTATTTTCTACTTGATATTGGGTAAACATTATGATGTCAGTGTTCACACCGATTGAGGACGCTTCCGGATGGAGCTAGCAACCGAAAATAAGGGCAAACCCTCAGTTTATTATCAGCGTAAAGACAAATAGAAAACCTTTGAAACAGAGTGTTCGCACAGCAAATGGACCAAATAGAAGACATTTCACCGACATAGAGATTACTGAGATCTTCAAAACCAAATTTACCTGTCATTTGAACCGACTGCCAAAGGTCAAAATACAAGCTGGTGGTCAAGGGAATATTCGACTTACTCTACGATCTACTCTTTCTTAAATCTTTGAATAAGGATAGGAAAGAACGAACTTTTCATACTAGTCGCATTACTGCCATCACTATCGAATGTATTGGGGGGGGGCAAGATAACGTACAAATGAAGTACTACATGGATAAGAACTAAATTCTTTCTGAAACTCAACATGGGTTTCGTATAGTTAGGTCTTAAACGCCATGAGGTTAGCAACGTTGTTTTACTCTATATTCTTAAGAAAGATGTAAACCAGTTGAATGGAGTGCATAGTCGAGCAACGAAATGACTGATAGGGTTGAGGAGTAACATAGAACATATTCAGCACGCCGAATCATCCCAATATCAGCATCTTACAGAAATATGACAACCACGGTCTTCGAGTTCATATTGGAAACCTCGAGCGTCAAATAGTGTACACCCATATCCACGCACACATCTCATCATGAGTCGTTGCAACTTGGAACGATTTCTCAGCCCAGATGACCACAGTCCCCTCAGCGAATAGTCTTTGTTGTAGCCATCTTATTCAATTTATCGTTTCTCGCTTCCTATTTCTGTTTCGATTTCCGAGCTCACACATTGATCCTCACACGCAAACTTCACTACTCATTAATTACCTTAATTGTCCATTGATTTACAGTTTTGAAGTATTATTACTAGTATTAGACTTAATTTTCTATGATAATTAGAAGTATGTGAATCAAGAATTACGAGATGAGCACAAACGAATAAACTGTATTTAGAATTCGAAATCAAGCATTCAACAACAACAAGAAGTCACTAGTTAATTCAAACACCACATTTTCTCATGAAGACACCCATTGATTTCCTGCCTAGTAACGAGACCGCTGCTTGAGCTACAAATCTTCTACACCAGCTACCATATTGTGAATTGGACATTGGATGCTAAAAATCGCCGCTCTATTGGAAACGTGCGTTGTTGGTTTTCGTGTGTTGTGAATTCAGCATTCGGTAAGCTTGCCTATAAATTGCATCTAGTGGAGTGGCTGAGTTACACAGAGTTTGATGGTCTCAGTTTACAGTGCATCTGTCCTAATGTGAGAGAACTGGAACCGACTTTTACCCCTAAAATTACCTTCAGTCATTGGTTTGTTTGCGTTTTTCGACTAAGTATTTTGTGTGATGGGGGTGTGTGAGGAAACGTATATGAGGTTATCTGAAAGAGGAAAGAGTAAGAGAAAAAGCAAGTGGACGACTGTAAGCCGAAAGGGTGCACATACATTAGATTGAGAAATTAGTCGATATCAATCAGAAACAGCACAAGCATAATATGAAGAATAACTGGTAGTTGGAACTGAGGGTCGTAAGCGAAAATTTTGGAATGCAGCACTGTAGCTTTACTTTCAGGAGCGTGCCGAATTGTCTGCTCGCCTCTCGTTATGTTCATTGTACTTTAGGTCGTGTTACTGGTTGCTTTTAAATGTTCTTATTCGTTACCAGTCACCATCCGTCAACATGAGGTATTTTGAAGCTAGACTCAAACACACTAGAAGTTGGACGTAATGGTCCTGTAACTTGTTTTCCTCTTGAAAAATGCATATAGCTTCTTTACAGCATAAGCGAGAATGCTCACAGCGCGTCATTGTTTATTATGTCTAATTGATTTGCAATATGTGTTTCGAATAAAGTAATTGCTGAGCATCTTGCGTGTTGCTGTTCGTTCCTGCTTTTCTTTCATAAAGTCAAAGGACATTACACTGACTATTCGGATATCACCGTCAATGCGTGGATGATATTAAGACGGATTTAGCAGTGATATAAACAGCTCTCATATATAGGTGAACGGTTATGACGTTACTGCCACAACTGCGATCAACTAGTAAAGATTAGGATATTTGATCTTCCTGTTGTCAAGTCCACGAAGTTAGTTAACCTTATTATTGCCTCTCTTATGAATTCATTCTAACTTATCTGTACCATATTTTACAACTTTCTCAGGTTGAAGTTCCTAATATGCAACTGCTGCGTAGAAAATTTGATCGCTTTGCATTATCTACACTTGATTCTCCTAACTATTTTAACATATTTCGATTTGATACAAGATGAATGGATTGACATCTCTCGCGAAATTTACAGATTAATTTTATCTTGGAATAATTCCATGGTGAGTGCTTTATGTTACAGTATTCTGATTAGTGTGTTTAGGTCAATGGGAGAATACTTTAATCTGCCCGTTGAATATCTGTACTGCCCTTGGAATCTTTCATTCTGTCAGCAAAAACAATATTAAATCTGAAATGATGAAGGCGATGCAGTTATCTGACCTTTGGAATTCTATCAGGTTGATTGTAGGATCTGTCAACTTCTAAATAAATGTTTGAATGTTTGATGTTGTTGAGATAGTGCTCGGTAATAAAGTTTCCGCTGCAGAGAATTTGAGAATCAAGGAGCAGTTATGGATCAATTTGGAGACATACTACGATACCGAATGAGAACATGTGAGTTCATGTTTTGTGTTACCAGTTTTGCACGTGTAGGTGGTATTTGAGACCGACACTTATAGTTCTGGAAAGTGAATGAATCAGTGGGTTAGTGAGCTGGCTAGAGGATAAATCCAAGGACTCGTTTGAAGCTGGATCTTTAACAAGTGACACGTTTAGTGTAGTGACAGCTATTACATATTTTAAGGTAAAAGAATGCATGCAACTAACTCACTGACTGAAGTTCTTTGAAATTCGATGCACCTTATATTTGTGTCTCTGCTATATCAGTTGACAAATCTTAACGAGCGTTGTTATTTAGGTATGTGAAATCTGGCTTGCTTATGTGCCAAAACTTTGACAAACCGAGCGGTTTCGACCGTGTAACTTACTGTTCCTCTTCATCCTACTAAGAGGTCAAAATAAAAAGCATCAAGTGTATTTTAATGTATGTACGGTGGATGGATCACTGAGTAGTGACTAGTTCCGTCATGACCGTAGGCGAAGCTTACTGACAAGTGCAAAAACTGATGAAACGTAGGTCCGCGGTTCCTTATCTGGTAATTCCAGCAGCCACCTTACATATGATGTTTTGAGGATGGTTATAGTTGTCGTTCAGTGGCAGTGTCTGTCATTGAGAGGTGTACTACAGGAGCATAATAGATTTCTACAGGCTCTTTGGTAGAACACAATTGGTCGAGTCAGAACGTAAGGCGAACTATCTTTGGAATTGCTTACCGCAGATTGTGTTTATCGCAATTGTCCGTTTTCTCGATTAGTATTTAGCTTTGCAATGGAAATGCTTTTAAAAATAACGCATTCATCAGTCAGTCAGTTGCAACGTAGAACTTCGTACGTATGTACATAAGTTCATGTTGCCATACCACATCAGTTCATAGACGCAAATGTCAAATCAAATCCCATAGTGATAGAAATAGCAGACGTATTAATGGTAATGAAGAAGACTAGGGTTCGAAGATATTATTCAAGAATAACAATTCAGTGAGATAAGGTTAGAAAGACAAAGGTAGAGGTGCTGACGAATCCAGAAGATTAGGATTTGAGAGAGCACAACGAATGGATGCACTTGCGCCATTGCAAACGATTTTGAGCCATATCGTTCAAGGTCTCTAACCATTGGTGACCCTCGTCTACCGACACGACTCAGTCTACTAGTCAGTGACTTCATGGATTTCTGCCATGTTTTGCTCTGGCCGCCCCTAACTTTCTTCCAACCTACTCCTACATACACTACAAAACATCGCTCGTCGAGGCAGTCGGTGGTTAGGCATACGCAACACATGTCCCAACCACCTCAACTGATGAAGTTTCACCACTTCATTTATTGATCTGCCATCATTACCTAGCACCCATTTCCTAACGACAGCATTGCTTACTCGGTTGTCCCAGGATATACGAGCAATGCTTCTAAGACATCTATAATCGAATACTTGTAACCTACGAACATCTACTCTTAACGGCCATGTTTCACAGCCATAAAGTAAGACGGAGCGAACTGCTGCGCAGTACACCCGTCCTTTGGTTAGCGAACGGATATCTCGCCTACGCCATAAACGGCGTAAATTGGCAAAAGCAAATCGAGCTTTCTGTATCCGTGCTGAGATTTTGTCAGTCACCAGACCGTCAGCACTGATGAGACTCCCCAGATAAGTGAAGTGATCAGGACGCTCGACTACTTCACTCCCTATCACTAGTTCAAGCGCCGATACAACCCAGTCTTAAAGCAACATTTTGCATTTTGAGGTGGAAAACCGCATCCCGAACATGCTTGCATTGTTGCTTATGGTAGTCAGAAGACTGCATTTTGTCAGCGTCTTCACCGAATAGAACTATGTCATCGGCATATTCTAGATCAGTAAGCGACTTTCCTGGTAGAAGGTCAACCCCTGAAAAATCTGACGAGCTTAATGTTAACTCTAGGAGGATGTCTACAACAAAGTTAAACAAGAATGGACAGAGTGGACAGCCCTGACGGACACCACTTGATGTAGAGAATTCAGATGACAGTTCGCCATATGCTCTCACTCGACCAGTGGTGTTCGAGTAGAGAGCTTGTATAAGGTTAATGTACTTCTTTGGTACACCTTTCAATGACAGACACTGCCACAGAACCTCACGATCCACTGAGTCAAATGCAGCCTTTAGGTCCAGGAAGACAACTATTGTAGGACGCCTAAATGTGTGTCTGTGTTCCAGGACCTGTCTTAGTGTGAAAATGTGGTCTATACAACCACGTCCAGGTCGAAAACCAGACTGGTTTTCTCGAGTCTGCTCTTCACGAGCTCTAGTTAGACGTCTAAGTATAATCGAGGCTAACAATTTAGAAACTATATTAGTTAGACTGATTCTCCTGTGATTGTCACAAGAGGACTTTTGTCCTTTCTTATAGATTGGGACAATTAGCGACTGAGACCAGTCAGATGGGATTACGTCCAGTTCGCAGATTCTACCTAAGATCTCGGTCAGTCTAACTGTTAAAACTGGACCACCCTCCTTAAACATCTCAGGGGTAAGCCTATCAGGACCTGCTGCTCTACTTCGCTTCAGATTTCCTATAGCTTTCTCAACTTCATGTAAACTGGGAGGACGTAAATCGATTGGCCATTCAGGATGACTGGGGATCGTGGGCAACCGAAGTGTGGCTCGAGACCAGTTGAACTGATCCATAAAGTGTTCTGCCAATCGGTCCAATCTCCTGGATTGAGAATGGATAATAAGACCATCCTTTTCCGAGATAGTGTCACTCACATTCGGGTTCCTAATACCGGTTTCTATAATAAGTCGGTAAAGTTGTCTAGTGTCGCCTATGGGCGCTGCCTTTTCCATCGCTTTTGCTTTCGCCACCCACCACTGTTCACGATTGTTACATAGGCTTTTTATAAGTCTGCGCCTAAGCTGACTACGCTCTCCATCATGTTCAGAGTCAGGTGGGATGCGTTTTCGAGCATCCATCAGTTCCGTGGGTGCGACTGACATCCACGGCTTAATTCTAGCCTTATGGTTTACCTCGCTAGCAGATGTCACTGCTGTTTCCACAGCCTTCTTCATATCATTCCAACCTGATTCTGGATGGGAATCACTTCCATGGTCGCTTAACTGTTTTTATAGTCCCGCCTTGAAATATTTCCTTAGCTTGATTATCATCAAGTAAAGCCCTAGGAGGCTTCCTTACAGTGTCTTTCCTACGTCCAGTAAGCCTTAAACGAACACGAGCCCGCACTAGGGCATGATCTGAATCTAAACATGTGCCCCAGAACGAGCGGCAGTCCTCTATCGAACCCCTCCATCGGTGGCTGATGGCGATATGATCTAGTTGCGTCCATCGTTGAGACGACTTCGGGGGTCGCCAGGTCAAAAGATGTTTTTCCTTATGCTTAAAATTAGTGTTTGCTAGAAGTAGTTGGTTTTCTGAGCACATTTGCAACAGACGGTCGCCATTGTCTGTTCTGTGAGCCGCGACACCATAACATCCCCCTAGGTGTCTTTCATTTTCACTTAGTCTATCTACTTGAGCATTAAAGTCACCAGCCATTATAACTATATCAGAGCGCCTAGCAAAGACGAGTGTCCCTATCCTTACGAGTCCTTACTGTCCCGTTTAGTCGGACGGCGCACAAACGACTATCTACAGGGATCCACTCAAGGAGAGATTGTTCTGCCCTAAGACTCAATACTATACCTACACAAGCGAGACCCCGGGAAGCAGCATCAGAGCTCCTCATTAATGTGTTATCAATGACATTACTATGTAGGTAGATATTGGAATCTCCAGAAATTCAGTGATCGTTCGATAAGCGTTTCCGATGATAAATAGTGTATTCTTATTCGAAATCTGCAAACACTGATTACAAGCATTTCATAGTTACTGTACAGAATATAAGAAGGGTCTAGTAAGTTTACTCTCAGCTGTTGTGTTGTAGAGTTACGACCAAACAGGCATCTTTGATTTCAATGCCAATCACCAATCAACCTGAGATTGCAATAATTCACTGATGAACGTTATATTTGTCATGGTTTAATTGTCTCATCACAATTCGGTCTTCGTATGTTTTTGAAGTTCGGACAACTATAACGGCCGTAGAACTATACATGCACTTCCTCAACACGTCTGTAAATTCTCACTCATTTTGATGTTTGATCAACAGCGATAGTACCCAAACTATTAAATGTTTTAAAACACTGTTTACAAGGTGGTTGAAACTTAAATGCAGGTGTTCGTAAATATATTGAGTCTGTGGCTGAAATACCACCATTTCTTGTGCACCTACTTACTGACAAAGTTCATCTTCACAAATAAATTAGAAACATCTGTGCATAGCAAGTAGTGTTTGAAATACTCATCCAAACATGTTAGGATTGCGATAGTCTTGATCAGTGGATGTCAATCAAATTATTTTGAATAGACTGAAATAGGTTATCAGAATTAGTGAGATGACGCGATTCTTCATTGCAATTCGCTGACAACGATTACAAAACACAGTTGTCAGTAATTTCAACAATCGAGAAATTCCTTCTCCTCTTTTCTCCCGCTAAAAACATAAACGATTCTCTGTTTTATGGAAGAAGCAATTTCAGAATATAAATAATGGTTGTTGATTATGTCTACAGTTACATATATTTGTGTGAAAATTGATCTTTGAAACGAAACATTTTCAGGAATCCTTGTTCACTAGCTTTGAAATTGAACCAAAGAAAGAGCATAGGTAACATGATTAAGACAGAATG